ATTCCTATGATGCACTTTCAATGAAAACTTGAAATGTGGCCTTGGTGGCAACTAAAAGAACGATTTGTGCAAGGTCTCACCATTAAGGTGAGGGGGAAGTTACCATGTTCTTGAGAAAGGCAAAGTCATTGAGGCAGCAGAATCAGGTAATATCCATTGGGGAGCTCTGTGAAAACAAACCACATATACAGAGAGACATGGTAAAAGATGGTCACCTTAAAAACAACGGTGACTCACAGAGATGAGGAATTGACTTCTATTGGAAAAGTAAGAAAGTGGAAGTCCTGCAGTAGCTCAGATGGGAGACAGCAATGTTGATACCACACATGTCTAAATAGTGCTCACAAGTAAAACATTGAAACAGTCATGTCAACACACACTCTGCACAGGTGAGAGAGTCAGGGAGAGACTTGGGCGCAAACACCCCATCTTTGGGGTGCTTTACGCAAACATCTGGAGGTGCTGCCAGGGAGGGAGCGGTGGTGCTTCCCAGATGGTCACTTGGCCAGGAGGACCCACCACCAAGGACTGTGGGGTGCCTAGAGGAAGGCAGCTTTTGTCCCCCTGCGTGGCAGTGTGCAACCATCAGCTCCTTCTCATGCCAGCATCTTCACGGAAAGAAAACCGCAGTGGATGGGCTTGACAGGGGCTTCAGAACACTCCAGCAGACAAGTTCAGACCCAGTTCTCTCAAATTAAATTATATCTTATTCCATATGTGACTTCGCTAACTTTCATTAAACTCTTGTGGAGTACAGTTGTATTAACCATGTGTGAAGCTATAAGCAATAAATCCCAAATGGTTACTTGCCACAATAAATGTATTTTTGATTGTTGTAATAAATAATTGCTCTCGGAGAGAGAGGTTTAAAATGAGTTTCCTTAGAGAGATAAAACAGCAATATTTGTGATCTTGTTACTTAGGGATAATACCCAAAATTTAGAAAATCTGATTGCATGCAAGTGAAGCTCTCTGATTAAACAAAAAAACCACCTGAATAAAAATTAGCGTGAAATGTGAAAAACAACAGAATGTTTGTGCAAGAAGTAGAGCAACAGGGCCCTAATACTCCCTTCAGCATCTGGGTAGTATCATACTATAAACAACAAACAGTAACAAGAATTTAGCTGCATGGGAAAACTGGAAACCTCAGAAGCCCATCACATCCAGCTTTTATACATCTAAAGAGCTGTATGCATACTAGGAAACCTGATCTAAAGACAGTCATAAATGTTCATATAGGCAATTTTGAATGTGCAGAATAATCAAGAACAAACCCAAAGCATCAGTGTGGATAACTTGATCACTGCAGAAAATAAAATGGAAGGACAGAAGGAGGGAGGGAAGAAATGGTGGAAGTAAACCATCACATCCTCTCTTATTCTGGATTAGTTTTTACAATTTGGTTCTTGTTCTCCACAGACTTATCAATGTGTTTTGTTGCAAACTTATGACAAGTTCAGGTAAAGTCATTGAGACTGCTGACCTAATAAATTTATACAATTGCTTACTATTTTGCGGAATAAATGCTTGCATTTACCACGTGTCCGTTGTATAATGGAGGCCGAAATATCAGCCAAGCAAACATCAAAACATCAGAATTATGACCCAGGTGTTGAAAACTGGGATTAGAGCTACAGAGTCCATGTTCTTCAGGTGGGGAGTTCTTTTCCCTGTTTGGTCTCTACAACAATGGGATCCTGTAAATGCTCTGAGCTCCAAGGAACAGCTGGTGACATATCAAATTAACAAAACTTTGCTGAGATATTGATGTATTAATGCATGAGGCTGTGCATCTGCATAAGGTGTACATACATCTCTGCAGGAAGTGCTACCTATCACCCACACCTCATAGGCCTCACATCAGAAATTTAGGATAGTGTTATAAAGCCAAGTCATTTATTCCGGTGATTCAAATCCCAGTAAATCGAAGCACACAAATGAGCCTTTGCATAAATGGGACAAGCGCTAAGCACCTTGAAAGTCAGGACAGGTGGTTTTTTTAATTTGCTTCTGGGTGCTGAGTTAGAGAAGGATCATGATTTGTGACTTACTTTTACCTGAACACAGAGCTGGTGTCAGGACTAAATGAAAACTGTCTTTCTCACTGAAAAAACATCTAATTTATGTATTGAAATGAAGATAAAAGTGCTTTGAAGAGAGGCTGAAAGGTTCCTCTATTCATCGCAAAGGCTTTTAAAACATTTTTGATTTCTTGAGGAACCACTGAGACATCTGAACAGCTTCAAAACAACAGCAGAGTTGTCCGGGTCACATCCCTTCAACTGTCATTTAAAGTAACCAAGTCTGAAAAGTGTTGAGGTTATTGCAGAGTCAGAATTTTCTAAAAAAAAGATTAATAGCTATAAGTGGGATGCAATTCCAGTATGAACTGAGTAGAGGTGTGTGACAAAGAAGTAGGGAAATACTGAAGTCAGTTACTGCTAACTTTTAAGCGGGGTCATGCTTACAGCCACTGATCTACCTGCCCAATATTCAACTTCCAAACAAGTGTTGGCAAATTGAAAAGAATTCCAAAATGAGCTACGTGAGTGACATGAGCTCTGGGAAAATAATACGGCATGCAGTTCCCAAGGCTCAGTCTATTTTTTTTTATCCGGGAGATATTAAGGACTTGAGCATGACATAACAGTATTGCCATGTCGCTCCTCTCAAAATCTATGTAAGCAAGACAACCACAACCTCTGAATCTGTACAACCTTTCATTTTGGAAAAAAAAGGGAATATCTAGCAAAATGCATCACACGCTGAACTTCGTTTAACTACTCACAAAGCTTCATTTAACTACTCACAAACAGAAACTTTTGGAAAGTGCTTATAAAACGCGTGAGTCAGAAGAAAATACCTCTTCAGCTAAACTGACATTCTCAAATTAATTCCCATGCCTGCAGCACAACATTTACCTCAGGTCCCCTGCACCCCACCAGCACCTTTTCTCTCTCATTTACACCTCACTGTTCAAGACACAATTTTTCTCCTAACTGCTGGCAGACAAAGGATTTCCTTTACTTCCTTTTTACCTGCCGCTCCCTTTTACCTGCTTCTCAAGAAAATCTGAATAGCTACTACGGTGCTAGTGCTCACACTTGTTCAGGGTCTGACTCTACACATGACTTTAAGACAGAGAGGGTCACTCTCCCGAGTGGTAGCTGGGCCCACTGCTGATTCGATTCATTACCCACCTGTAATGACACATGGTACAAACCACAGCAATGGCGCAAGGATGTACTCAGAGTTGCACAGCTTGATGGTACAGAACAAGCTTTTGAAATCAGAGTTGCTTCCCAAACTGGCTGCTTAAACCTGCCTCCAGCAAGCTCCACCCCTGCCACTTCTCCTATGAGCAAGCCACAAGAATATGAAACCTGTCCAGGTAAGAGAATGTTTTGTTTGTTTAACTTGTAATTAGATAGGGAAAAAAGTTTTAAAAGCTCCCCTCCCTCCACCCACACCAAAACCTTCTTCCTCTTCAGAGTGATTTACAGCAGATTCACGAAGAGCAGAAGATGGTCGAAGGGCTGTGACTCTGTCCCAGGGCAGGGGAAGGTGCCTGAGAGGGATGGGCAGGCTCCGAGGAAGGAAGAAGCAGAGCATGAGCCTCTTTCAAAGGAGAAGCAATTGTGCCAAAAGGTAGCTCAGAGCCAACACCTCCAAACTTTTCACACAATATCTCCTTTTCATAATTAAAGGGTAGGGTGACTTTTGAGGACAGATTCTGAAAAATAAACTCACTTTTGGTTTTAAATAGGTTGAATTACATCAGTTCATACAAAATGAGAAGCACTAGTTTGCTTCTTTTGGGGGAACATGTTGTTTCCAAGGGAAAATGCAGCAGAAACATGTTTATTGGTGCCAAAGAGCAGAGCCAAAGAGAAGCTGGAAACATTGCTGCTGTCAGAAGTGGCTATATTTTGAAAAGAACCCAGAACTCAATATGCAGCTACCACAGGAGTCTTTTTGAAACTCTGGCCCAGTGTAGGTAGCAAAACAGAGATGGAGTTTCTCAAGCCGTATCCAGACCACCTAAACTGTAAATGTGGCACCCATAGGCAGAACTTAGGTGTCTAAGTATCCAGTGTGATTGAGATTGACTATTCTTGCGTGCTATCTCTTAAAAACCCTGAAAATCAATAATTGTTCACTTAGGGCAGCAGTATTTCCCAGGCAGCCACGCATAGGCTTTCAATGTAAGCATTAAGTGTAAATACTCTGGTGCCTAAAGCTGGAACCCAACTTCACACCAAAAAGCTTTCCTATCATTCAAGGATATTCAATGAGACAAACTCCATCCAACCTTTGTAGAGGTCCACTCTAGGAGACATGTTCTCACCTAACTCACCCGGGATGCACTAAACTCGACATAGGGCTCACTAGTTAAGGTAGCTCTCTTCTAAAACACTGAGGGAAGAGGCAGCGTAGAAGGACAAGTGCCTATTTAAATGACTGGAAACCATTAAAACTGGCATAAGTGATATTTGGTACCACTTACAGGTCTGGTTCCCTTGAGTGCAGGGTGAGAGATAAGAAGAAACACAGAAGAAAGCAGCATTTCAAAATAGGGAAGTAGGATATAATAAAGTGGCAGTGTGAACCCTGCAGTAAGAGTCTTTTGGAAAACTATTCCCGAGTAAATGGCTTAGTAACTACTACTGTTATCATAATATAGCTGGAGTAAAATTAAGGATTAGATATGGGCATTTTGTAAAATCCTCACCCTTTTGATTTAAACTGCACTATTCAACTCCACAGTGCAGAATTTTCTGAATGGCAACGTCACTATTTGCTACAACATCACAGGCAAAGCTTGTAACTAATTTAGGAAAATATTCACTTGGCTGGGGAATACCACTTAGCCCCTGTTTGCAAGGCATAAGTGAGCTTTCCAGAGTACACGGGACTTGAGCTGCTACTCTCTGAATAAATAATCCTCTCCCATCACACACATATACACACATTCCCTTCCAAATTAATGTTCTTACCTTATCTTTATTTTCAGAGCCAGAATCCTCAAGTTTGGTCCGAATGACAAAGGGAGTAGATAATCTCAGGAGAACTCGTTCAAATGTGGCACTGATTTTAGGAGAAACTATGTCGAAGCAGTCTTGGAATTTCAGAGTTTTATGAGTGTCACATCTGAGCTGCTTTCTAAGACCTTCTCCAAGCTGGAGAACCAGCATGTTTGGATCAAACATCAGGTGAAAGGGGAAAGCTCTGCAGAAGGTGCTGATGCTAACCCTCAGGTCTAAGGGGGACTGGGAAGTTCCTGGTGGAAGTGCTTTTGTGATATTTGCATTTTCATGTTCTTTGATAAGGAAAGTCAGACAGCCGCAGTTACCTTGGTTCGTCCCCTCTGAACACAACTTATCATTAGTGACCTGTTCTACTTCTACTTCCAGGCGGTAAATCTTCTTTGCTGCTGCCTTTATCATTCCCATCATTGCAAATCCCACAATCTGATGTGGGTGAAAGTAATGAAGCATGAGATTGCCTTCAGGGAGCTCTTTGCATAGGAAAGAAGGGGATTCCAGGGTGGCCTGTCTTCCAAATGAAGTTCTAATGTGCTCCAGCAAAGCATCAAAGCCATTGAAGAACTCTTGAAGGGTCCCACCTACAGCTCGAAGAACTCTCTCATTCTCATCAAAGCAGATATTGAAGAATTCCTCCCCAAACTTTTCTTGCATTTCCTCAAACTTCAAACCTATAGGACAATGAAACACTGATATCAACAACATAGTATTGCTACTGTGTCGCATCTTCCCTTTGTTCTCTATTTGCCCAGTATTTTTCCAAGTCAGTGAGAGTGGTTTTTTCACCGGATACCTACCCATGGGACTTCCGTCTTCTCTGGTGGTTGGGAATAACCCTAGAAGCCATTTTTGCCTGTCATTTTTAGTCCTCATGCTTTCAGCTCACTGTCTCAGCCAGCTACTTGTGGGATTTACACTTGTTTGTCTCCTCTTCCCTGCTGGAAGCCAGAATACATTATAATTTCCCTGACTTTTGCATGTCACATGCAGTCCGCTGTGTGAATGCACCCAGCCACGGGTGCACCCCTTCCATTGTTGACCTAGTCACAAATGAGGCTTCTGCTTTTATAGTCCTTCTGTTCACTGCCTCTGCGAGGGATCCAGCTCTTACCAGCTTGAAGAATAAGCTACTGGGACTCAAAGTTAGGCCTTTGGCTTTCAATAAGCAATGTAAAGCCCTGCAGGCAGATGACATTTTAGTAGCTGGGGGAGGGGGGCTGTGGGTTTTGGGATTTTTTCCAGACAAAATACATTTCTCATTATAGCTATTGGGCACTGCCAGAAGATACAAAGGAATAATTACTTCTTCTTTGTTGCCTGCAAAGGAGAGCAAAGCCTTTCTATTTTAGGCTTCTACACCGACCCATCTTTAAAAAAAAACCCTGCCTCTTAGAGCGATCTAAACTGCTAGTAGATGGGACAGCTCTGTGATATCTCACAATGTCACTTCAGGTCTCCATCACAGAAATTCAAAAGGTTTTGATTTTCAGAGGTGATAAGGCTGGTGTTGCTGAAGGGACGAAAAAGTATCAGTGATGGAAGCCCCTGGATACAAATGTGTATCAAAACCTACTCCAGTTTGTTATTTACCATTTTAAGGATAACCTAGAAAAAATAATCCTGAGATGATTATTAAACATTTTCCTCTGTCTTATTTTAGGGAAGACATGCTCTGTTAAATCTCATCTGTATATAATCCCTATATCACATAGTAGAGTTACAAAATTTATCAGATATGTTTGTATTGTTCTAAGCTGTAATAGAAGAAAAAGAAGTATGAATTGGTTGTATGTGAATTACAAATATCCAGCAAGAGTTTTCAAAGGAAATTAATATAGGAATTAACAACATAGTTCTTCCAGTGTATTGAAATATATCAAATTTCAGTGAAACAGTCAAACACCTTAAAATTTATCTTGAATTCTAACAGAAATGAAGGGCAGTTACTTATTTCCTAAGGGCACTACAGGCTCTTTATTTTAATATGTATTCAGCATGTTTTATTAACATTGATAAGATCCCAGTGGACCACCAAACTTCTCGCTGTTTGTTTAGATTGCTTGTAGGCTTTTAAATTTGGAAGAACAGTGTGATTAGTGACTTTCATGCCCAAGAGGTATAACAGGGGACAGAAGAAGTCATTCATCTGTTGTTTGCAGACAATAACCTTTGATCATCTCAAGGCAGTTTCTGAACTGCCTATGCATATAGGCATAGTTATAACAATCAATATTCACAAGGGATCTGAGCATTCCATAGCTTTGCAAACTATCTATCTGCAACAATAGTTTCGTTTGGACCTTTGATATAATTAATAGCAGATTAAAATGCATAAAATTACATATATAAACAGGACAACATGACCACATGACCAAGCATAGTTTATGAAAGAAGTAATAGTAATAATTTGGGAAAGTTCATTCAAATGCCATTACTCATAATCAAATTTGGTCACTAAACTAGGTTATTACAAAAATATTCCCAGGATCTTTTATGACCACAGATGGTCAGATCTGCGGCTAAGCCAAAAGAAAGTACCTCTGGTACACAATGCCCCCTAATATCCTGACTCAGAGGACAGTGTGCCAATTCCTGACTCATTACTGCTACGTCTGCGTAGCATAGTATTGCAATATCATCCATAAAAATACTCACCATAACCCAAAAAGATTTAAATTCTAACCCATACCTATATCATTGTCATAATTGGATATTAACAGCAAGGAGCTAAAAAATTATCATGTTCATATGTATACACACACACATATGCATACTTTCAAATCTCATTGTTCTATAGAATGAATTGCGAATAGCTTTAGAAGTCTGTGTGTAAAAGTGAGCAGTCTAGCAGGGGCACCCAAGGCAGTAAGATTGCAGAGCAGCCCTGAAAGTATGGGAACAGGACAGTACCAGAAACCCCTGGGCTATTCCTGCAAATGACCAGTTACTATTACAGAACTATGTAACATCCCGCGAGGCTGCCCAAAACGATAGCGTAGGTGGGCTGTCTTTAAAGTATAAAATTACAGTAAAACAGTCAGTTGCCCTGGCACCACTAACTGAAAATAGGATATGCAGAACTGATCACTCGTTTACGTTACTGCCACATATCTAAGCCTTGTCTCATTATCATTAATGGGAGTTGTATCTTAGTATTCGGCCTAAGGTTTTGCTGATTGTCTTAGATTGGTCTTGTTGTCCACCCTGGAGGACTGGCTGTTCAATCTGGACACAACGTACTGACTCCAAGCAACATGAATTATACTATGAAATTCAGGTCAATGACCTGGCTCGAGGATGTGCCACTACTTTTAAAAATATTTTAGCTTTGAATTGAGTTACACACAGTACCAGCAGAAAATTAGATTAGCTCAGAATAGAAAAATGCATATGCTCAAGCCCGACCAAACTGCTGGTCTGTCTTAATTGGGAATTTTCTTCCTAATAATAGACACTATGAGATACTGAGAAAATTAAATAAAGTCAAACAACCTTCTAAAACAAACAAGTATAACATACCTATCGGGGAAGTTTCTTCCTAAGCCTCACCAATAAGAGGTCAATTTTTTCTTGAAGCATGATGTTTTTTCTTTAAATAAAAAATCTTTATTTAAATTCCTGTTATACAAACACACACAAACTATTTTTTTTCTGTATTCCTACAAAGCTCTTGACTTCAGTGATGTACTTCTATGAAGTTGCACAAAATACTTAATCTGTATTTTTACTGACTTATTCCTGCCTCTCCTATTGAAACAAATGATGAACAGAAGCACACACTTACCTAATATTAACTCTATATATATTTCATCATAACCTTTTCATTTACTACCACATAAATTATCCCAATCTTCTGAGTATCTTCTGTGGAGTTTCTCCCTACCCCTTTCTCTATACTTACTGGATATGTTTAGCTTTCAAGAGACAACAGAAATTACCATCATCATCACAAGGAGAGAAAATGTCAGACTGCATCAGATCGCTCTTCAGCTGCTCTGAGATCTTCTCTCACCAGTGACTGGTATCAGATGCTATAGAAAAACTGTAAAATCTGATGGAAAATCATAAAGAACTATGTTTTTTCCAAAAAAACAGCTCCTCCCTAACTGCTACAGTAGATGTTTGGCTTATTCACTGAAATGGATGGAACTACCAGATCGGGAGATAGTTTTATTACATATAGAAAAACCTGCTTGTTAAAAAAATTAGCAGAACTCATTGTCTCTATAGTGCATACTTTACTACATTTGGAGACTTCCACAGCCTAATTTTTATCTTTAAAAATTACATTCAGTATGACTTCCAATTCCAAAGTATTCAGTATTTCCTTTGTTGTTTCTTTTGTTTTGAGAAAAGACAAATAAAATCATCAAAATAATCTTTACAACCTTCAGGTTATACATCTGCATAAACAGTCTAATCTTTTCAAACTCGTCTCACATTAAATTCTTTCTCTGCATCATCATTTTGTTTTCATTTTGATTTTGCAGTGGAATAATTCAAATTGAAGATGGCACTGAAAATGTGAGTCAACTTCCGTTCATCAAAATCGATTATTTGCTATTCCTTTCTGAAAAGCTGGCATTTCCATTCTTTCTTTTCCACTATGGACCTCTAATCAAAATTTTCATTCAGCTGCCCAGAAAAAAATAGTATTTGAGATCTGTATGCATGGCCAGCACTTCCAAATGCAGAGGCACTGCACTCCCATATCGCCTCATGCATGACCCCGACAACCATAGATAGGGCTTCCTAATGGGCACTAGCTTGCAATCGTTAAGTAGGAAAAAGTCTTCCTTAGTTTCACCAAGACACTTCACTGAACAGTAGTGATACAAAATAAACCCAAATTCATCCCAACACTCTCTGCTGTTGCCCAAGTGAAGCCATTTGTTATTTTGAGCTTCTGCTATTTACCAACCTCCTACTAATGTACTGAATGAAATTCTAAAAATTCATCAGTCTCAATTTACTTTCTTCTTGGAAAGTGATCCACTGTGTTCTTACCACTTAATCCACTTCTTCAAGAGGACAAATCACATGTCTTTACTAAGTTTTTTTACTTAGTAGTTTCTTTCTGTTCCTTTTTCTTACAATGCCATTTTTATTCCAGCCCATACTGGAGAGAAATTAAATATGCACATTGTAGAAGGAAATTGAGGCAAAGCAACCGTAGAATGAAGATATTGCTCTGGGCCTCCATTACAAAGCACTTTGGGATCTATGGTAAAAGTACTATATAAGGTCTATTATTATCCTTTGAAAATGTGTCTCAAAGACATTTAGAAAAGAGATCCAAAATTACAGAAGTCTTTAAGCATAGGCTCAAAGTACAAATTAAGTATTTCACTGAACTGGAGCAGAAATAGATGACTTCATCCTGTAATAACATGCTAGTAAAAGGTCCTTCTTCATTTTCTTTTCAGCAGTTCCTGTAAACTGCGAACCCACTACAAAACATCAAGGAACTAATACAGTATTTCTAAGTATTTTTTACATTACTAAGTGGAAAAATTAGATAGGAATCTGTTCCCATAAAGAAAATCACAAATCAGACTCTTCAGAAACAAATAGAAGATGAATGATGTGATAAAAATGTCAAAGTAATCCATTAACTTGCAGAGCATGCAGAAGCAGTTACAAGCCATCCAGTTCTTCCTTAAAGTAAATC